AACTTTTATTTGTAGTTTGAAATGTCAACCTATTTAGTGTCGTTACTTTCACTTCGTGTCACATGTGACATCCATTTTAGTTGTTGCTGCTGTTGAAAGTCCAAGTGATGTGGTTTCTATTATTTGATACAGTTCTTTCTTTGTCGACGAGCGCTACAGAATAACAATATTCGATGTATTGTCTTAAAGACCTACAGACTCGAGGCAATTTTTTTTTATTTTAATTCATAAAAAGGTTGTATACAACTGACGATTTAGATATTTTATAAACGGGTTTATTGTCATCCATATGAAGTTCTCCATCTGACGAGACTACTTAAGAACCTGATTAGAATATTCAGGTTCATGTTTTGGTTTGGTGGCAATTTGCGGTCTTTGGCGAAACTATCTCTTGCGCAGCATATTCTGTTTAATTTCCTTATCTCTGTACTGAACTTGTTAGCTGATCTTTTGGTTGAGGTATTTGAAGTATTTACCATAAGCACCTCTCGTAATTCGGTATACGTAAGGTCTAAAATGAATTTTTAAAAATGAAAAACCTTCATTTCAGCAAAATCGATAAAATCTGTCGTTTTAACACCTTTGTAAACAATTATGTTTTAAAAATCCTGCAAAAATAAAATATTTCTGAAACGTTATTTGAGGAAAATTAGCAAATTTAAAGTTTAAATTAATCTGATTTGAAACAAATATTTACTTATAGCATAAAATGTTGTCTACAAGCATTTCTTAAACATTGGGTTTTTGTTTTTCTGACGTGTAATCGATTTGACAGACGAATGACCACTGAACGTGTTTATAGTTAAGTATTGTTGAGCAGACAATAAAGTTTGAGGGTTTTTTTTTCCACGCAATGGGAGGACAACATTTGCAAAACGTGACCTTAATAATGTTAGGGGTTGAATATCCATACTTAGAAATTCTACACGTATATACACAAAGAAATTCTTTTTAAAAAATATTTGGGGTCGTCAGATTGTAATAAACTTTACAATATATGATTAGGAAATATTTTAAGTAAAATTTAAGAGTTAATTCATTGAAACTGAATTTTAAAATCTTTAAATTATTCAATTTAAAATTGTAAAAATGAAAACGACTCTTGTAAAAAAAAAAAAAAACTTTCATCAGAAATAGTTTTTTTTCTTCCTCAGACAATATCGTGTTTAATAGTTTTCATAAAAAGTAATTACAAGCTTCTCTAATTAAGTGTCTTATTTTATTACGTTTTTTTTTTTTTTTTTTTTTCCGCAAGACTGGGTTCTATTTTGCAAAAACAAAAAATTCGGTGATTTTTAAATTCAAATAATTCTGCTTTTAACTAATACATTCATTAAAAATTCTGAATTTTTCAAGCTTTCATAAAACAAAAAGACTGAAACACATGTAAGCGGGGTGAGGGGGGAATTTACCAAATTTTTTTCATTTGTGAATAAATCCTGACAATTTCATTATCTAATATTATAATGAATTTTGAATATTCTAAAAAGTAAAATTTCATTAAATCATAAATACTTTGATTCTTTCTCTTGATAACAGATTTTGACTTTAACACGGTTTTCATCATGGTATGCCGTCATTATCTCAGTTATGAATACCTGTGTCATTGTCACAGAAGTACAGTACATTGTCCTCTGTATAGAAAACTGGCTCGTTATTTTCTTCTAGTTGGTTCGCTTGGTATGAGCATGCTTAAATAGTCATTGTCCATATCTTCACATCTATGCTTATTTTATAATGCACGGTGCATAGTTCAGAAAAAAAGATTAAATGCGGGTGCTTTCATTATTTATTTATTTTTTTGTTGTGTATTTCTGATGGGGTTTGAAATGTTTCCTTATTGGTGTCCTTGCCAGGCATCTAAAATTGTTCTATACCATTGCTCTATTAGATCGGTGAATTTGGAGTTTGGGAAGCGGTTTCTAATGGATGAGAACAGGAAGTCTCTATTGATGGGGCCATAGCAAGCATACAATTTCTTGTTGTTCGATGACATAACCATCGTTACATCCGTTATTGGATCGTGACGAGTTTACTTTGATAAAACGATGCGAGCCTAGTTAATACTTTAATGTTAATACTTTCACCAAAATGGATCCAATTGAAATACCGCTGTATATGTGAGGCTCTCGAGGACTGTTTTTGTTTCCGTTGTTAATGCGTGATAAACTCCACTTTCGTTTTATGCAATTCTGATTCCAGACTTTAATAAAATTGAGAAACTTGTTATTGAATTCAGTGGAGAAAGTAAGCTATTTTCAAAAGGTAATCTTTAATTTCAAGTGTTGCTTTATTATCCCTTGGGGGGATTTTTTTTTTAAATAGCTCTCTTAATTCCCTTATCAGTAGCTTCATTGTTTAGAGACAGACTTTGTAATGAGTGGATTTGTCCGATTTCTTCGGGAATCTTTAGTGTGGTCAGGAGTTGAAAAAGTATTTTAAGATATTTATTTTATTTTATTTTTTTTTAAGACCTGGACATATTTTCTGTGATTTTGATTGCATAAGGTTGTGATATTTCCCCTTTCTCCCCCCATTCTGACACACTGTCTGGGCTTCATTAATTTACTTTTCAATTTCCCGATGATATTTGTTTATCAAAGACTTAATTTTTTATTTTCTTAATTATTTATTATCTTTCCTTCCATGTTATTATTTTTAACCACCATTTCTTTCTTGTATCAATTTCTTCATCTTGGGATTGTCGTCCCGTGGGTGCATCTTTTCTTTTTAGATATTCTTGGAATAGTCTAGCGCGCTCAGCTAAGGAAGATGTTATTTGATTACTCTTCTGTTTTGATCAAGATTTGACATCAATTTGAACTCTAGTTTATAACTAAAGTCTAAATTCACTCTGTAGTTGTTTCTACAGAGGCTGGTAAGCGCCCCGTTTTGTCAGATTTCATTGTATCACCCGCATCTTACGACTTTTCGGTGATCCAACCTTACTTTTAGGGGTCGAATACGAAAGAAATGAGAATGATTAGACCCTGTATATGCGGCTGACAGAGCCTAACTATAAAAGAAATATGAAATGATAAGAGTGATGTCTCGTTTGGATAGGTGCCATGGAAATAGGGATTGGCTTTCGACATCTCGTCTGGAGAGGGGGTTTAGGTTAAAAATAAAATAATCACCCTGTAGGCTACGCAACTTGTTTTTTAAATCTCATAGACCAGAAAAAATGGCGTATTGCGCTAACTCTTGCAAAGATTGAGCATATCAGGAGGAGCTGAGCACTTTGTGTAGCGATACAAGAAACAAAGAACCCCCAAGTATCTTTAACAATGGATCGTATGGGTTTCACTTGAAGTCTGGGAGTGAACCGGGGTTGCCAATAAACCAATTTTCTTTTTCAATCGCCACACACACGGTAGTAATTGTACATCGCTAGTGTTTGAATTAATACTTGAATTGAAATAGTGTTTTTTTTTGTTTTTTTTTAAAATCTATGGTTTCACTTCATAACATTTAAATATATACCCTTTAAAGAATTTGTGTAGCGTGTTATTTTCATCTGCCCTTCAGTGCACCATTGCTTAAAAATACTGAGAAGCATGGCAATAACCCTTCAAGGCAAGGAACCGCATTGATTGTACAACCGCTCATCATGACTGCAGAAAAATCAGGGCCTATTCGGTGATAGGGAGACGTTACTACCTTGGTTTTTAGAGGCATTGAAGGTTACAAGCTATATTTTCCTTCACTGAGCTGTTAAAGTGAGATCAGCTGCCCGGCTCTGATAATCTACATGTAAAGTGTTATTGTTTACTATGCTTAAGTTACTTTCAGATTAAGCCTCAAGCAAGGACATCATCCGTGGATTGAACAATAGCAATTGTCAACCATATTAGCTTAACTTTGATTCGATGCAAAGGTTCATAGAAGAGGAGAGAAAAAAAGCTCAAGGAGCGTAGATATATACTAAACTTGAATAAGTATGGCATAAGGCTCAAATCGTAATGAGATCTGGCGCGACACGAAGTAGTCTAAGCACTGGCCTGTGACCAGAAATATGTGGCGGTGTCACACAGGAAACACATTTGGTGGAAACCGGCACAAGGCCACAACTGTCGAAGATCTCTCTTATAGGTGAGGGTCTGGAAAGCTAGTGCTAAGCGATAGGGACTGAAACTTTGAGTATAAAGGCCAAGATGAACCTGCTGATCTAAACAGTAAAGCATATAGCAATCTGAATTTATTTTGGAATCTGTTCTTGATCAGGCTGAGAATTTTTCATTGTTACATGCGTAGCAGATATTGGCACGGCGCATCTTCCTTTTATTATCTGTGAATTGCCATGATTTTTAGACTGGCTGCCACACAAGACTAGAGTTCACCTCGCGATGTATACATAGCTACTGAGAAGAATTAAATTTTTTCTTCAGAATGAATATTGCTTTAATTTCCTTTGCGAACAATGATTTTTTTTATAGTTTTACGATTTAGCCCATAGTTAGGAGCGGGTTGAAGATGGATCCATACACTTCCCAAGGTTTTTTACGCGAAAGTGAATGCAACTTACATCCAAGCCACTTGGGTAGAATAATTCATGCCACTCCAAAGACACTTTGTGTGAAATAACTACAACAGGCTAGCTTGGAATTTGATCTCTGTTCGTCGATTCTACTAATCGCGCTGATAACAGATACTCTACCCACTGATGTTAGATTATTGAAGCGGTTCTTTTCAAATAAACAAATTGTTTTGATCGGGTTCGGAAGAGATAACATTTACGTCTTATGCGGGATATTATTACTATTCAGTAAAGTTGGTTTGTTTAAAGTCATTGGAGGCCCAATTGATTTGAAACGACAGATCTGAAGCAGGTGGGAATTATCTTCCAACAAACTTGATGACCCGATTATCCCGACACTTCGGGACAGGGCTTGGAAAAATATGTTTGGATAATTCAAAATTCCAGGTAACTGAATGTCTAAATTATCGAAAACAGAATAAAGTTAATTTCTGGGAGAAACTTTAGCATTTATATCAAATAGAATTTTTAAAACTGTTTGGTCATGCTTGCTTGCTCGCATTTTTTTATTCCTTTTCTCTTATTTCTATCTATCTAATTTTGCTCATATCTATCTATCTATCTATCTATCTATCTATCTATCTATCTATCTATCTATCTATCTATCTATCTAATTTTGCTCATATCTATCTATCTATCTATCTATCTATCTATCTATCTACTTTTTTTTTTTTTTTTTTGTTAGATAAAAATATCTTTTATGCCGCTCGCCTCTGAAGCTGGATTAATGTACTTGTATTTGTAACACTACCTTATTTCGTTTATTCATTCGAATTCGAGGCCATTCCCATTTCAAAGCGTAGGATCACGAAGTAATAATAAAACAATACTCATGTTGGATGAACCTTTTTTTGTCGGTCAGGTACAGAAAATGATGCAATTTACCATCAAGAAAAGTTCGACAAAAATCGGATCAACTTTGGCGCAATTCTTAATATATAAAAAACGTCTATGCACATTTTCTAAAAAAAATAAAACACTCGACCACATCTTTTTTTTTTTTACCAATCGGGTGTACAAAAAATATGCGGTCGCTTCGTGGAGCTAACGTGCGTGTGCGTGATCCGATCAGAACATTTACATAATGAGAATATCTTCAAAACGCTTCGGAACAGTTTACTTGTCCTGCAAGGTGAAATACGACTGTCTCTCACCGCAAGCCCGGTCTTTTGACCACTGAAATCAAATTATGTATCAAAGTATCAAATTACAATTCTCAACTTGGCGATAATGCTTTTAACGCCACGCGGCTGCTGATATTTCTCTATGACTCTCAGAGACTTTAAAGAAAAACAAAACCCGAACAATTAATTTTTGTTATCAGATATTTCCACAAGTCTTGTGTTGTAAAAATAAAATAAAAACTTCTTTATTTTGTAGCACTCACGTTAATCGTTTTCTATTAATATTAATACCACTACACAGGAAACGTTATCATTGCAAATAAAATACGTCCATAAAATCGAGGTAAGGGTAATCGATGATCTACTCTGCCATTAATATTATGCTCAATATAAAGTTGCAGTTAACATGGAATCCCGCCTCCACTCTTTTTTTTTTTAAAATGTTCAACTAATGCCTAAGATAGTTACTATATCAGCTTTGTTGTATAAATGTAAGAGGAGGTAGACTTAAGGATTAGGAGGTTAGATAATTATTCACCTTTGACTTAAATAATCCAAATATTGTCCAGTTTCCTTTCCCTTTAGGGATGCACTAGAGATTGACTTTGATCCTACCCATATAAATGTCATGGGTCTGTACCGCCTTTTTTTTTTTTGCGCGCGCGCCTCGAGTCCCAGAAGATGAGTGGCTCACCAGTCTGTCACGACTCAAGTCAGAGAAAAACCAACCAAAATTAGTTTTAGCTATACACTCGCTGATCACTTCATTATTACCGGATTGGATTCCTTTTGCCTTTAGAACCCAAGTTCTTCTTGGTATGGATTCGGTATTCGGGAAAGAATGCTTCGAAATTTGAATCTATGTTATTAGTATGACATCCGCAATTCTTGATTAGTTGACTACACATCCCGAGTACGAAACTTCCTTTCCAACATATTTTTTAAAAAATTTACTGTTAGTTCACCTAATACCAGGCTCAAGGGACACTCAAGATAGTTACTCAGTGAGATTTTTTTAAGGGAAGGATGTAGCAGGAAATGCATCTTATGAGGACGTGTACGATAGATATCAGTTGGCCCTGGAATTCAAAAGAAGTAAGATTGTAGTTGTCAGTGAAGTATCTTTTCCGGAGTCTTGTCCACAAAGCAAGTTTTGAGAATGTACCTGAATCCTTATCAAAGGAACACGGGGGGAAATGGGGGATGATTTGCAACCATGAACATAATTCAGAAGAATTACGCTCTATACTATCTGCCGTAGTAAAAGCGATAGCAACGTATCCCAGGGGGTACTCTATGGTTTTAAGATCCGGTGATTGTAGAAGGCCACACAGAAAACTTATCGCTGTGTTTTATGACTAAATCCGCCACTAATTTTGATTTGTGACACCGTGCAACGTCCTTTTAAACGATTTTTTTTATTGGCACCAAGGATCCAAAAAATATTCCCCCTACAATTGCACCACCACCAGCAGCCTTTGGACCGTTGATAAAAAGCAGGATGACCTACCATCCGAATGCTGCGAGAGAAATTGAGACATATCAAACCCGACAACGTTTTTTTTCCAATCTTCTATTGTTTAATTTTTGTGATCTTTAGCGAATTGATCTCTGTTCTTTTTGGACAGAAGTGGCACAAGGCGGGTTATTTGAGCGTTTTTTATCAGCTTAAATTAATCTGACCAATCTTTTCCTAACCCCGGAAATGCCTTGTTGATGAAAATCAACAAGGAATTTCCATCTACAGAATTGCTACTCAATGGAAGCTTTCTATTTTTTCTGACCGTTTTCTGTAAGCGCTACAGATGGTTGTGTCTAAGAATCCTAGTTGACCGGTGGTTTTTGAAAGACTCAGTCCCTTCCGTCTGGCACCAACGACCATGCTGCACAGAAAGTCACTTATGTTACCTTCTACTAATGCATGAAATGAAAGTCAGCAGGTCGCTCTGATTAAATGCATGTACTCATTAAATTAAGGCTACGTCATTGGTTGGTTACCCATTTGCATAATTTTCATTTCTTCACTATGGTACCAAGACTTTAAATTTATGCTAAGTACTAAACTGGTGTCAAGATGTCATAAATTTACAATTAAGCTGGCTAAATGTAGCCGTAAATTCTATGCTAACGGTTTCTTTTCTCGCACTTCTTGTTTGTGGAATTCCTTATCGGCTCCATGTCTTTCCGGCTAACTTAAATCTTCAAAAATTTAAATGCAATGTCAGTCGCTATCTACTGTCCTCCTGATTACCCTTTTCTGATCCCGCTCATTATTAATGTTTCTGTTCCTAATTCTTCCACATTCCTTGTGTCTTAGTGGCTTTACTGCCTTGCATGGGGTGATAGCGATTTAAAAAAAAGTTACCAGCGAGTGTAAATGTAAATTACTTTGCAACTTCCACAGGCGATTCAAATAGATTGCCAAATACATTAGCACATCATGTCCCGTTACCGCTATTGAGTGAGAAATTGAAACAGTCGCTTTCCCATAACTAATCTGATATCCAGACAATAGTTACAGCTAAAAAAAACTGTTACATGTTACATCTGTTGTCGACCGTGATGGGAGCGGGGGGAGAGGCTATGTATTTAAAATCTGTTTAATCCCGTTCATTTAATATAAAACTTAATGTAATTTAATTCGACTGAGTCACTCTTCAGTCAAAAAAATTGCTTGCTTTCATCTGAATACAGATGTCAAAATAACAGTGACAACCATCGCGAAACGCCGCCTATTTCATTCCTTTTGCAAGATTAACAGCCAATGAAAACACTCCGTTATGACGAGATTTTTTTTTCTCCATTTGCGTATCCACTCCCCGTATAAGGAAAACCATCTGGCGCCGAATTCTTATCTAATTTGTATCGTTCACTTTTCTTCGTAAACATCTGGCTCGTTTTCCATTCGAAATAATTCCATCGGTTTCTGCGTGAGTATCATTTAATTTTCTTTTTTTATTTTTATTATTCTAAGTTAAATTTTGCCATTTTCATAATTGTTCTAATTTATACATTTTTTCCCCAAAGTAGGTTTTATTTAAGAATGTCATTCAGGGGGATTTTAAGAAAAATCCTGTTTGTAAGTTTTCCTATCGTTGCATGATTCCTATACTTCCTTAATTAAACCTGATGACAACATATGAAATTAACGGCTTTTTTCATTAGACTACATCAAATGCAATAAATTCTATTTAAATCTCTTCAGAGGGCCTTAAGACATAGACATTGGGAAGAAAGATGAAACGTGAGAAACTGGACACAAATTTACTGTGGATGATCTAGCAATTAGTAAATTGCTTTCTCTTTTAATTAAAAGCAGAAAATCGAAATTATGCTCACTCATTAACGTAAGCAATTAATGCATTGATTGTTTTGTCCTGTAAAAGATTCTTATATATATATAACTAGAGATGAACTTCATTTTCTCCATCAAGTCATTCATTTCTGTAGTTCACTGCTACTAACAAGCAGACATTTTTTCTCCTGATGATGGCCATGCTGGTCGGAACTAGTCGAGGAATCTAAGTGAAATAACAAAAACGAAAGAATATTAATATACAACCTAGTGTGTCTGAAGATTTTAATTTTTTAATATTTTTTATTGTTCAAAACACACACACACACACACACATATATGTATATCCTATATTGAGTATATATATATATATATATATATATATATATATATATATATATAATATAATATTGGATTATACGGAATAAATTCCAATAGCCCAAAATACTATTCTTAAAAGAGTGCTCCATATAGAGTAGAGCAAATATAATTTATTCGAAAATTATAACATAAACATATTATAAAATCACTACAAAAATAGCCATTTTGTTTCAACACTTCTGGTGTCTTATCAAATGATGGCCTCGAATGTAGAAACATTCAACACTATCATTTGATAAGACACTGGAAGTGTTGAAACAAAATGGTTATTTTTGTAGTGATTTTATAACATGTTTCTGTTATAATTTTCGAATAAATTATATATATATATATATATTAGATACTGTATTTAAAATAGATGCTTCGTTTTTTCTTATCCTTGCTCTTCTCCTCACCCTTTGTCTCGATATATTTGTATATATCATGTGAATTCCTCTAACACAAAAATTTGGACATATGATTTGCACGTTCCTTCTCTTATGTAGAAAGGATTGCTCAATTTTAGATGCCTTTAAAATAGCTTTTTAATACGCATAAGAACATTCTTTTTAATTATTTACTTATTAACACTGTTTAACGCAGTTCAATCACCATTATAGCCGTTTTGGCTTGAAGACACACTGCAAATTAATGTGATTTTCATCTTCAGCAAATTTGAAAATAACTACTACCAATCCTCTCCAAAGCTTCGTGCTAAGAAGAATCAGTAATATTATCGTTCCTGATCTGGCCGCTCGGCTTCTGTCACTTTTCTTTGTGAGGTTGTTTCTCTGTGTCTTTTCTATAAATACTTGCAGGGTAATTATTCGGATGAGCTCTTCACTATGCTACATAGACTTTAGAATTTAAGCGCAGTACTAGGCTGTCGTCAAGATCTCATCAATTTACAGTTGAGCTGGCTAGATGCAGCCGTAAATTTTAAGCTAACAGTTTCTTTTCTTCGCATTTCTCGCTTGTAGAACTCTCTTCCAGATCCATGCTCTCTAGCTAACTTTGATCTTCAAAAATTTAAATGCAATGTCCAATATTTATTACTGAAATATACAGTAATTGTGGCATAAGGCCAATGGCGAAATGCTGATCTCTGATAACTATCCTAGTCCTAGTTAATCACAATCACGACCCATCCATTCAATAAAATTTATCCATTTACCACAAGAACACATCCCTCATCACACAAACCCTCGTATACCGCAATACCACACATTCGCAGGGGACCTAAAAAAACACACGATGGTATAAAAATCTTGTGAAAGTCCATCATAAAATATATAAAAATGCATTTATTTAAATGCAATGTCAATCGCTATCTACTGTCCTCCTGATTATTCTTTTTCTCTTCACGCTCGTTATAAATGTTTCTGTTCCTAATTCTTCCACAGTTACTAACCCATTGTGTCTTAAAGTGGCTTTACTGCTTTGCTTGGGTTGAAACCGATTAAAAAAAAGAACTTACGAAAGTACTGCAGGTCATCCAAGCTCTTCAAGGCTTTTACAGAGAATTATGGAATTTTAATGTCGTTGTTTAGCGTGTATACTATGGTTGTTCACGGTTTTCCGCGAATATGCTGTATTGCTCTTCTCGAAATAAAACGGCATTACTTTACGAGGAGATTTCACATCTAATAGCAGCAGATGTCTAAATAATTTCTATCGTAATTGGAATGTGAAAAGTGATGGGTTTGTTCTGTATCAAGTTGGAATTGAAGATGATGTGGAGGCTATCTTTTGCCAATTAGATGTTTTTAACTGTTTTTGATGGAATGAATCGATCTTTTCTTGACACTTTCTTGTCAGTCGCCACGTAGCACAATTATTACGTAGCATTTCAGTGCGATTTTCAAAATGGACGTTTGATATCCTTGGACGCTCTCTCGTTTTCTTTTTCATGCTTTTCGAAAGGAAGGCGCCAGAAGTGCCCACAGTTCGGAATAATTTAATTCCTTTTGCTTATTCACGTTCTTGAATTCTAGCCTTTCCAGATTTTCTGGTTTTCTTCATATTTTTTAAAAATATATCCTATTCTATTACTAAAGAATTTATGAAACTGAATTATTAACTCCAGATGGTGGCGCAAAACTTTTAGTCAATAGTTTGTATATAATAAATAACACTTGATGAAAAATTATTCTTAGATAATAATATGCATGTGTTTTATTTGTCTCAGAAATTTTGTGTAGAAGACATTACTTTGTCTATTAGAAAGATTTCTCTTTTCCTGAGGAACACATTTTATTTTTGTAATTGCGCAGATTGGCTTTGCGGAATTTTTTTTTTTATTTTACTTAAAGGTCTTATAGTCTATCCAATTTAATATAGTTTTTTTCTTTGTTTATATTTTTATTAAATTTGCTATTACTATCCCACAAAGATAATATAAAAAAAAACGTTGTAATAACCCAGATGTAAATTTACTGTGGGATGATCTAGTGATTAAAGCACTTTCTATACACTTTCATCTTAGTAAATTGCTTTGTCTTATAATTAAAGTAGCCTTTTTTAAAATCGAAATTATGGTCACGCCTTACTGAGTTGTTGCATTGAGTGTTGTTTTGCAAAAGATTCCTTATATCGATATATATATATATATATATATATATATATATATATATATATATATATATATATATATATAAAATATGCGGATAAATTTTAAACTCTTCATCTAAAAAATCTCAATGTCTAAGTTATGCATTGAAAATGAAGAAAGATTGTGTGTGATTGAAAAATGAAGAAGGATTGCGTGAGATTAGAGAATAAAGAAGGATTGTGTGAGGTTGGAGAATGAAGAAGGATTGCGTGAGATTGGAGAATAAGGATTGCGTGAGATTGGAGAATAAAGAAGGATTGCGTGAGATTGGAGAATAAAGAAGGATTGCGTGAGATTGGAGAATGAAGAAGGATTGCGTGAGATTGGAGAATGAAGAAGGATTGCGTGAGGTTGGAGAATAAAGAAGGATTGCGTGAGGTTGGAGAATGAAGAAGGATTGCGTGAGATTGGAGAATGAAGAAGGATTGCGTGAGATTGGAGAATAAGGATTGCGTGAGATTGGAGAATAAAGAAGGATTGTGTGAGGTTGGAGAATAAAGAAGGATTGCGTGAGATTGGAGAATGAAGAAGGATTGCGTGAGATTGGAGAATAAAGAAGGATTGCGTGAGATTGGAGAATAAAGAAGGATTGCGTGAGGTTGGAGAATAAAGAAGGATTGCGTGAGGTTGGAGAATGAAGAAGGATTGCGTGAGATTGGAGAATAAAGAAGGATTGCGTGAGATTGGAGAATAAAGAAGGATTGCGTGAGATTGGAGAATAAAGAAGGATTGCGTGAGATTGGAGAATGAAGAAGGATTGCGTGAGATTGGAGAATAAAGAAGGATTGCGTGAGAGGTTGGAGAATAAAGAAGGATTGCGTGAGGTTGGAGAATAAAGAAGGATTGCGTGAGATTGGAGAATAAGGAGGTTGGAGATTGAGAATGATTGCGTGAGATTGGAGAAGGATTGCGTGAGGTTGGAGAATAAAGAAGGATTGCGTGAGGTTGGAGAATGAAGAAGGATTGCGTGAGATTGGAGAATGAAGAAGGATTGCGTGAGATTGAGAATAAGGATTGCGTGAGATTGGAGAATAAAGAAGGATTGTGAGATTGGAGAATAAGGATTGGTGAGATTGGAGAATAAAGAAGGATTGCGTGAGGTTGGAGAATAAAGAAGGATTGCGTGGAGATTGGAGAATAAAGAAGGATTGCGTGAGGGAGAATAAAGAAGGATTGCGTGAGGTTGGAGAATGAAGAAGGATTGCGTGAGATTGGAGAATGAAGAAGGATTGCGTGAGATTGGAGAATAAGGATTGCGTGAGATTGGAGAATAAAGAAGGATTGCGTGAGGTTGGAGAATAAAGAAGGATTGCGTGAGGTTGGAGAATAAAGAAGGATTGCGTGAGGTTGGAGAATGAAGAAGGATTGCGTGAGATTGGAGAATGAAGAAGGATTGCGTGAGATTGGAGAATAAGGATTGCGTGAGATTGGAGAATAAGGATTGCGTGAGATTGAGAATAAAGAAGGATTGTGTGAGGTTGGAGAATAAAGAAGGATTGCGTGAGATTGGAGAATGAAGAAGGTTTGCGTGAGATTGGAGAATAAGGATTGCGTGAGATTGGAGAATGAAGAAGGATTGCGTGAGATTGGAGAATAAAGAAGGATTGCGTGAGATTGGAGAATAAAGAAGGATTGCGTGAGGTTGGAGAATGAAGAAGGATTGCGTGAGATTGTAGAATGAAGAAGGATTGCGTGAGGTTGGAGAATGAAGAAGGATTGCGTGAGGTTGGAGAATGAAGAAGGATTGCGTGAGATTGGAGAATAAAGAAGGATTGCGTAAGATTGGTGTGGCTTCCTGTTGTGTTTTTTTATTATTTGTGCCATGTTCTCCGTGTAACTGTATCTGATTTTTACTGTGTTTTTGTTGAATATTTTGTGTAGGGTACTTGATTTGTGTAAGAGTTTGAAGAATATTTTCCTACATTTGTTTTTACGTTTTTGCTGTACGGTGGGTTGAACCATATGATATTTCTTTTCCTGTTGGCCTTTTTTGTGTTCTGTGGTAAGTATGTGAGCGTTTCTGGGAATTCGCTATCTTTTAGGGCTGTTTCGTAGTCTTTCTAAGCTTTGTTAAATATGGATTCATTGGAGGAATTCTCGGAAAGCCTGCGGTTAATCGATTTTGGTATCTGTTTGATTATAGGAGGTGGGTGGTTGGAAGATGTGCGTATATAGAGTGGTTTGTCATTGGGTTTTCTGTATAGTTTATATGTGCCTTTTCTTAGGTTGAAGCTGACATCTAGAAAATCTACGTTTAGCTTAGTTTTTATATCGATGTCGAATCCGTTATTTTTGAAAATCTTTATTATTGATTTTCTAGTTTTGTCTGTGTTTTCTTGGTTATCGTACGGAGACCGGTGTTTCAACGTGACGTGGCCGTAAACCTGAAAATAAAAAAGGGAGCTGTCCGTCGTCAGGATTTAATGCGAACGTTAATGATAAGATAGGACAATTATCTGTAAAATTGTTTGTTTTTTTTTTCCGGTATCGTCCAAAAATGGCGGAAAAATATTTAAGTAATTCTGTTTGTATTGGTGATATGAGTAATCTTGGATTTTAGTCTATACATCTAATTCTGTTGTTGCATTTAAGATGAATGTTGTAGATCATTAAGTGTAAAAACATCCCACGTAAAGCTGACACTAAACAAAAGAAAAATTAGAAGCCTGATTTTCCACACTTGCTATATTACTCGAGTTTGGGCACCTCGAGGCGGTGTAATGGTTAGAAAGCTTGCCTCGTTAGAACAATTACTACGGAGTAGTGAGTTCTATCCTCACTGGGTGCCCCCTAATTTCGGCCTTGTGTCACATCTAAGCTTGGAAAATAACTATATTACTCGAGTATAGTGCGAGGTTTTATAATTTTTTAAGCAAAAATAGGATGTCGCGCTATACCCAGCATTTTTTTTTGAAGAGGTTAAAAATCACGCATTTTGGGTGACCGGTTACACTATACACAGAAAAATCTTATGGGAGGGATCAAAATTAATGCAAAAAATTCAGGGGTCGCATTATACACTATGTCGGCTTATACACTAGTATATATATATATATATATATATATATATATATATATATATATATGGTAATCGTGATATTTTCAGTTATGTTTCTAACAGGAGGCTTGTTCACTGATTGATATCCCCGGTTATCATAATAACTGAATATTATTTCAAATGGGACAAAATAAGGACACATGACCGATATCAAGTAACGTCGTGTTTTATTCGTTAGTTCGCACGGTCGTTACGTCCTGTCAATACCTCGTAAATAATGGACTCTTCAATTTTGATCGTTTGGAAAGGGGAAAATATACGAATGAAAGAGGAAGATAGAAGTGGCGAGAGAACTAGATTAAGCTGCTAAAAACAGATACTACACTTTGATCACAGCCAAAAGGCCGAGAATCGTTTATTTTTTCAGCGTGCCCACGTCGCTACTGAATGTGACAAAAGGTCAAGGTTTAAAGTGTTTAACGGCAATACCGTGGAAAAATTGCCCAAGTCCTCTCGGTATTTCCCCTTTTTGGGGGCGCTCAGGGACCGGGCAATAAATCCAACCCTCTCCTGAAGGAGAAGTACTGATTAGGGTTGGGGGGCCCCTGGGGCTTGGACTTAAAATAATTTGATCCTCTCCGACCCGAAAATCGAAAACTGAGGGTGACTGTGATAAAAGCACAATCTTTCAGGCGCACAGTATCGAACGAGGAAAAATAAGTAAGCCAATCGCCAAAAATTCAGTTACCATAAATAAAATAACATCGTCTGTTGAATTATTTTAAAATTACTAAGAGAAATGTTCGTAAGACGGGGATTTGGCTAGAAAGAAAGAAGAAAAAATAGAAGTTTTTAACATCTTGTACGAATGCCTCCTAAATAATAATCTATTCCGTTTTGATTGCGTAGAGAAACAAGTCATATGAATGGAAGGTAGAAATGTTTAACGGCTGTTTTAGTGAAATAGAAAAAGTTTTCAATTTTATTTTTTTTTTTTCATTTGTAGCTTCAGTTATGTGCCATGCGTAATACACGCTAAGGCGATCATGTATCTTTAGATACATGACTGACGAGGCAGATTTTTTCCCGCAGTAGATTGCCATTTCTTTCTGCGGTAGACCAGTTGCCATCCAAGTCTATAGAACCCGGTCTGCCTGCTATTTACCCATATCTGGGGGTGGGGGGAAGCGGATTTATACCTTTCCCAAGGGTATTAGCACGTAAGTGAATGTAATGGATTCGACTGGAATTCGAACTCTGCTCTCCGATTCCTCAATCCAAGCCGCTATCCATTACTCCATTTGTAGCTACTTCTTAAAATAACGAACGGCATTCATATTTATGATTATTATTGCAATATTTTGTTAAAGTTGTTAAGCTAAAATATTTAACGATGTGGCCGGGGAAATTTCTACGGATATTTTATTGTCATAGAACTCGCTGTGAGCTTATTCAACCATTAACTTACAAATTAAGATTCATCAGAAAATTCAAATAGGATAACAGTGAAATTTTCACAGGTTTTTCTAGTAGATTATAATAGTATTTGGAAGATTTTAATGAAAACATTTCTTTTAGTTTTATTCTAGTAGATTATAATAGTATTTGGAAGATTTTAATGAAAACATTTCTTTTAGTTTTATTCTAGTAGATTATAATAGTATTTGGAAGATTTTAATGAAAACATTTCTTTTAGTTTTATTCTAGTAGATTATAATAGTATTTGGAAGATTTTAATGAAAAACATTTCTTTTAGTTTTAAAGATTTTATTCTAGTAGATTATAATAGTATTTGGAAGATTTTAATGAAAACATTTCTTTTTAGTTTTATTCTAGTAGATTATAATAGTATTTGGAAGATTTTAATGAAAACATTTCTTTTAGTTTTATTCTAGTAGATTAGTAGATTTGGAAGATTTTAATGAAAAAATTTCTTTTAGTTTTATTTGTAGATTATAAAGTATTTGGAAGATTTTAATGAAAACATTTCTTTTAGTTTTATTCTAGTAGATTATAATAGTATTTGGAAGATTTTAATGAAAACATTTCTTTTTAGTTTTATTTTAGATTATTCTAGTAGATTTTAATATTTCTTTTAGTTTATTTCTAGAAGATTTTAATTTGAAAAACATTTCTTTTAGTTTTATTCTAGTAGATTATAATAGTATTTGGAAGATTTTAATGAAAACATTTCTTTTAGTTTTATTCTAGTAGATTATAATAGTATTTGGAAGATTTTAATGAAAACATTTCTTTTAGTTTTATTCTAGTAGATTATAATAGTATTTGGAAGATTTTAATGAAAACATTTCTTTTAGTTTTATTCTAGTAGATTATAATAGTATTTGGAAGATTTTAATGAAAAAACATTTCTTTTAGTTTTATTCTAGTAGATTATAATAGTATTTGGAAGATTTTAATGAAAACATTTCTTTTAGTTTTATTCTAGTAGATTATAATAGTATTTGGAAGATTTTAATGAAAACATTTCTTTTAGTTTTTTCTAGTAGATTTTAATTTGAAAACATTTCTTTTAGTTTTTATTCTAGTAGATTATAATAGTATTTGGAAGTTTTATTTTAATGAAAACATTTCTTTTAGTTTTATTCTAGTAGATTATAATAGTATTTGGAAGATTTTAATGAAAACATTTCTTTTAGTTTTATTTGGAAGATTTTAATGTAGATTTTAGTTTTATTCTAGTATTTGTATTTAAAAGATTTTAATGAAAACATTTCTTTTAGTTTTATTCTAGTAGATTATAATAGTATTTGGAAGATTTTAATGAAAACATTTCTTTTAGTTTTATTCTAGTAGATTATAATAGTATTTGGAAGATTTTAATGAAAACATTTCTTTTTAGTTTTATTCTAGTAGATTATAATAGTATTTGGAAGATTTTAATGAAAACATTTCTTTTAGTTTTATTTAGTAGATTATAATAATTTGAAGATTTTAATGAAAACATTTCTTTTTAGTTTTATTCTAGTAGATTATAATAGTATTTGGAAGATTTTAATGAAAAAAACATTTCTTTTTAGTTTTTATTCTAGTAGATTATAATAGTATTTGGAAGATTTTAATGAAAACATTTCTTTTTAGTTTTATTCTAGTAGATTATAATAGTATTTGGAAGATTTTAATGAAAACATTTCTTTTAGTTTTATTCTAGTAGATTATAATAGTATTTGGAAGATTTTAATGAAAAACATTTCTTTTAGTTTTATTCTAGTAGATTATAATATTTATTTTTGAAAACATTTCTTTTAGTTTTATTCTAGTAGATTATAAAGTATTTGGAAGATTTTAATGAAAACATTTCTTTTAGTTTTATTCTAGTAGATTATAATAGTATTTGGAAGATTTTAATGAAAACATTTCTTTTTTAGTTTTATTCTAGTAGATTATAATAGTATTTGGAAGATTTTAATGAAAACATTTCTTTTTAGTTTTATTCTAGTAGATTATAATAGTATTTGGAAGATTTTAATGAAAACATTTCTTTTAGTTTTATTCTAGTAGATTATAATTTCTTTTTAGTTTTATTTGGAAGATTTTAATGAAAACATTTCTTTTAGTTTTATTCTAGTAGATTATAATAGTATTTGGAAGATTTTAATGAAAAAACATTTCTTTTAGTTTTATTCTAGTAGATTATAATAGTATTTGGAAAGAGTTTTTTAATAGTATTTGGAAGATTTTAATGAAAACATTTCTTTTAGTTTTATTCTAGTAGATTATAATAGTATTTGGAAGATTTTAATGAAAAACTTTTAGTTTTATTCTAGTAGATTATAATAGTTTTAGTTTTATTTTTTTTAGTAGATTATAATAGTATTTGGAAGATTTTAATGAAAACATTTCTTTTAGTTTTATTCTAGTAGATTATAATAGTATTTGGAAGATTTTAATGAAAACATTTCTTTTTAGTTTTATTCTAGTAGATTATAATAGTATTTGGAAGATTTTAATGAAAACATTTCTTTTAGTTTTATTCTAGTAGATTATAATAGTATTTGGAAGATTTTAATGAAAACATTTCTTTTAGTTTTATTCTAGTAGATTATAATAGTATTTGGAAGATTTTAATGAAAACATTTCTTTTAGTTTTATTCTAGTAGATTATAATAGTATTTGGAAGATTTTAATGAAAACATTTCTTTTTAGTTTTATTCTAGTAGATTATAATAGTATTTGGAAGATTTTAATGAAAAAAACATTTCTTTTAGTTTTATTCTAGTAGATTATAATAGTATTTGGAAGATTTTAATGAAAACATTTCTTTTAGTTTTTATTCTAGTAGATTATAATAGTATTTGGAAGATTTTAATGAAAACATTTCTTTTAGTTTTATTCTAGTAGATTATAATAGTATTTGGAAGATTTTAATGAAAACATTTCTTTTAGTTTTATTCTAGTAGATTATAATAGTATTTGGAAGATTTTAATGAAAACATTTCTTTTTTAGTTTTATTCTAGTAGATTATAATAGTATTTGGAAGATTTTAATGAAAACATTTCTTTTAGTTTTATTCTAGTAGATTATAATAGTATTTGGAAGATTTTAATGAAAACATTTCTTTTAGTTTTATTCTAGTAGATTATAATAGTATTTGGAAGATTTTAATGAAAACATTTCTTTTAGTTTTATTCTAGTAGATTATAATAGTATTTGGAAGATTTTAATGAAAACATTTCTTTTAGTTTTATTCTAGTAGATTATAATAGTATTTGGAAGATTTTAATGAAAAAAACATTTTTCTTTTTAGAAGATTTAATAGTATTTGGAAGATTTTAATGAAAAACATTTCTTTTAGTTTTATTCTAGTAGATTATAATAGTATTTGGAAGATTTTAATGAAAAAAACATTTCTTTTAGTTTTATTCTAGTAGATTATAATAGTATTTGAAGATTTTAAAGATTTTAATGATTATAATAAAAGATTTTAATGAAAACATTTTTTAGTTTTATTCTAGTAGATTATAATAGTATTTGGAAGATTTTAATGAAAAACATTTCTTTTAGTTTTATTCTAGTAGATTATAATAGTATTTGGAAGATTTTAATGAAAACATTTCTTTTAGATTTTTTTATTTTTAGTTTTATTCTAGTAGATTATAATAGTATTTGGAAGATTTTAATGAAAAACATTTCTAATAGTATTTGGAAGATTTTAATGAAAAATCTCTTTTAGTTTTATTCTAGTAGATTTTAGGAAGATTTTTAGTTTTTTATTCTAGTAGATTATAATAGTATTTGGAAGATTTTAATGAAAACATTTCTTTTAGTTTTATTCTAGTAGATTATAATAGTATTTGGAAGATTTTAATGAAAACATTTCTTTTAGTTTTATTTGGAATTTAAAAAAAATACTTCAGATTTTCTTGTTTTTCTTATATTTCTTTTGTCCTAGGAAGACGAAAATTATTTCAGTCATTCAAGATGGAGGTTCTGCCGCCGTTACCGCTGGATCTCTATCTTCTCCAGGAATTCCAAGCGATGGACACTAATAATCGTGGCTACTTGGATACGAAACAATTTTGCGATCTTTTGCTTTTTCTGGGTTACGACCGACGCCCTGAACTCATTCAGGTAGGTGAACGACTTGTAGTATTTTTAATTTTCACTTAACTGATGCACTTGTCCTGGTAAATCTTTGGGGAGTTTCTAAGAAACGTAATGTAATTAATGATACATTTTTCCAAAGGTTGCCACAGTGGTGATAATTGGGAGAAGTTCTCTGTCTATAATACGCTCTCATGACATAGGTCTCAAATAACCTCTGACAACTAAAGCCGGAGAAGGGGTGAAGGCAGTCCACTGGCTCCACATAATCAGCTGTTTCGGATAGATTGTGCTCGTCAGACCTAGAAAGCAGTCTATCTAGGGAAAGGAAAACCCTGATTTAAAATCTCCACGGCTTTGCTGTCATATCTAAAACACAGAAATTGCTATGAAATTAAATCCAGATAGAAAATTTGGTGTGGAACCTAGAAAGCGGTTGGCTACCAACATTGACAACTATCCGGCAACTCTTGCAGATAAGTGGGTCCCAAGTGTAATGTCTTATATTCTTTGGATCTTATCGATACAGCTGAGTGGAAGGGAGGGTCATATGTTCTGAGCAGCGCATGGCCTCCATATACCATCGACCAGGCCTTCACCATGGGGATGTCACTCCAGTCTTACCATCTGATGAGCGCACAGCACGGGAGTCAAAAAGCGAAACCAACAGTTGGAGTTCAGAAGTCAACGAAATATATATATATATATATATATATATATATATATATATTGTTATACGTTATTTATATAGGCACAAATATTTATAATAAACAGTATAAACAACGTCCTACACAGAACCGTCATATAGCCTGACGTGCTATACTAGTTAATCGACAGAGGAGCGTCTGGTTAGCAAGGTCAATTTTACTGCTTTTAAACTACAATTTTCCATGATTTCCCACGAACGTTCATATCTGCTCGAAGTGTATTTAAACATAAACAAATGAGGTTACAAACTACGAAATGAACAAAGTCCGACAATTATTTTAATATATTTTATGACTGTCCTGTGTAGGATACAGGTCCTGTCGGAGGACACATATTTTCTATAATAATTTCTCGGACGTTCAGGCCGGTAAATGTTTATTATAAACAGAGCATTTACTTAAATATTTGTGTCTATATAAATAATATAAATATATATATATATATATATATATATATATATATATATATATATATATATATATATATATTAAGAGAGAAAATCAATCACAGTTTTTGAATGTCAAAGTTCCACAAGCGAGTGAAGAAACTGTTCCTGTTTCATCTGTCACACTGACGGAAGAGACTGCCATTCAAAGATCGGACTGTTAAGCCAATCCAGACGTTGCCAACATAAAGAAATGGAATTTGAACAGGGCGCTGCCATTATCTTACGAGATAAACAGATGCCTTAGAACTACCACTACTCTTGCTAATCATTCATAGTGAGATCGTTTCTTACTTACAAATGAGACTTTATTTCTAAAGCTTGGAGAAAAGAAGCCAATTGGATTTACGGTGGAGTAATGGATAGCAGCTCGGATTGAGGAATCAGAGAGCCGCGTTCGAATTCTAGTCGAATCCATTACATTCGTTTACGTGCTAATATCCTTGGGAAAGGTATGAATCCTCTTAATCTCCCCCAGCTATGGGTAAATAGCAGGACAGATCGAGTTCTATAGCCTTGGGTGGCAACTGGTCGACCGCAGAAAGAAATGGCAACCTGCTGCGGGAAAAATCTGCCTCGCCAGCCATATGATAAATGATTGCCTACGCGTGTATCACTGACTGACTGGCAGAAAGTTTTGACTGCAATGTTTTAACAAATAATGCGACTAGCTTTTATCATATTCAGTTTTGCATTCTGCGCGTATGTTGGTGCATAAGTCGAAATTGGTCCTGTAATTTCAAAACGAAGGTAGAATCTGATGAGAACGTGGATTTAAACATTTAACATGAATACGGTTTATTCCAATTGGTATAAGACGTACCAGTCTTCAAGATATCGCAGTTCTTGAGGAAACCATAACTTTCAGTTAACGTATGAACTGCTATTTACCTTTAGAATGTAGACGATCTTTCTATAGATTTTTTGTTATCTATGAATTAATCTGAGTTTCTTGTGAAATATAGTAAAGTCCTTTGCTATTGCCTTCTGTATGATTATTTTGAGGAAGGTCAGAGTATTTTTATACCTGCATAACACTGTTTTCAGGAACTGGGAAGTTTTTGCCAACACGTACATGTACAACTGGGAGGATCCCACATTAAACTGACCACGAGACACATCCCGTCTACATGGGCATATTGCATACAGAGGGCAGTATCCGCGCACACTGTCGAAGGTCAAAGTACAATACTTTGATCTTCGACAGTGAAGAAATGACGAGAGAATTAATGTCTGAATCAGTATTCCTGGCCCGGGTCGGTATCTGCGCGCTCTGATTAAGATCCGTGTCGCTCACATGTTTATCTGGGAACAAGGTAACATCTGTACGCTCTGAACGCCCCCCACCCACATTAGAGTTATTTTCATATGCTTTTTGGCATATGAAAAGAAAATATTTTCTGTAATGAAAAAAGCAGCGTAAAAACGCTTTCAATTATCGTCACTATTGTTTTAAATATTGGCAATTTTCCTTGCAAAAATCCAATCGTCTTTAAACACATTAAACTCTAATAATTTTCTGGACTACGTGTTTTGTTAGGCGTTATTTATCTACATTATTATTATATGGTAAATAGTTAGCTTTATTGCCTTGCTTGGTGTGAAATGGTTAAAAATAAATACGAAATCTGATAATGACTTCAATAGATTTATCGAACATCTGACCCAGATTTATTGACCGACTCCAGTGTTCCGCGTCAAATCTCTCGCCCGGGTCAGATGTTCGATTGAAGCTATTATCGGATCTCATATTTCTTTCCCTCGGCAAAAAACAAAATAAAAATAAAAATTTCCAAATTTCCAAATAAATTTTAAATTCTTACCACGTTAATATTTTGTTTAAAACATAACAGTAGTTAAAAATGTACGTCTTTTTTTAAATTTTATTTTTAATCATTTCACATCAAGCAAGGTAATAAAGCTACTAAGACGCAAGGGGTTACTGAGTATGAAAGAACATGTGAAAATGAAAACATTAAGGAGAGAGAACAATAAAAGAAATATAATTAATAAAACAGAAGATAACGATTGACATTGTATTCACGTTTTTGAAGGTCAAAGTTCCACAAGCGAGTGAAGAAACAGTTATTCATTATTCATTATATCGCTATATTTAAACCCAATAATAAATAAGTATAAAATAAACAAATAACGTAAGTGTAAGTGTGTATTAAAAAAAAAGAAAAAGGTCCGTTTCTTTCCTCTTTGGTACATAGACTTTATTAATTTAAGCGTCTTACAGTTGAAATGGCTAGATGTAACTATAAGTTCTATCTTAGCAACATAAGACACGCAGATGACACAGTACTGATAGCAGACACGGAAAGGAAATTGCAAAATCTCCTACAGAAGGTAGCGAAGGAGAGTGAGAAGAAGGGACTAGGCATGAATTACAAGAAGAAAGAATGCATGGTCATCAGTAAGAGGAAGAGTCCAAAATGCGATTTACGGGTCGGGGACACTAAAATCAAGCAAGTACGGAAATTTAAATATCTGGGAAGTGTTCTGACAGAGGAAGGTAAGTGCGACGCTGAGATCCGTAGACGTATTGCGATGACCAAAGACGCATTCCAAAAGCTAGGCAGAATATTACGAGACATGAGGATTTCGTTGGTGACAAAGAAAAGAATACTGAACTGCTACATGATATCTGTCATCCTTTATGGCAACGAATGTTGGACGGTCTCCTAATAGATGAAGAAGAGACTCGAGGCAACAGAGGTATGGATCTACAGAAGGATGCTAAGGATACTATGGACCGAACATGTGAGCCATGATGAGATTTTGGAAGAGACAAGGAGGAAGAATCAGCTGGAATTTCTGGGACACGTAATGAGAAAGGAGTGCTTGGAGAATCTGATACTCACAGGACAGATAGAGGCAAGAGAGGCAAAGGAAAGCAACACATGATATACCTAGCGGGCTTAAGCAGGTGGATGACGGAACAGGGTTTGGGAAAAGTAGCAAAAGGACAAAACACAGTAAGAGCTAAAAGGGATAGGGGTAAGTGGAGAGCCATGATTGCCTACGTCCTGAAGTGACACTGCGCATAAAAGAAGATATTTTCTCACACACACACACACACACACACACACACAGAGGGTGGTCCGAAAGTCTTGTCACCCCATACCAAAAAGTAATGAGAATAGAACAAAAAGTTCTACAGCAATACAAAGCACCTATATTGGATCCAGTTTATTTACTTTCATTGACGCTGTCACACATCAAGGAGGTTTGTATGAACACCATCATTTTCGTGTAGGAGCTCATGACAGTCATCTGAAATAGAAAATTATATTATGTAGGAGTGACAAAACATTCGGACCGACTTGTACATTATCGTCTGAATCCAACATAAACTAGAATTATTATACACTTACATATATAAAGCAATATTTCCGGTTTTTCAGGTAGGCTTAGAATCCGTTAATTTCTCTGGATGGACGCGTCAGGGTGGACCTGGGAACAGCAACAATTAAGAGGGGGGTTCCATGCTCCTCAAACCTCCCAATCTCCTTGCTGCTGGGTGCAGTTTATCGTCATATCAAGGACACAGAAGAAGTATCATAAAAGATTACAAAAGCAGTGAATGAAAAATAATTAATACTTTATAAAATACATAATGGAGCCTAAACTTCCCATCTACTCAGAGCCTATTATTAACTTAACACTGGCCTTTAAGAAACACTCATTAGAAAAACCGTTTTAGATAAACGAGATATTTACCCATATTTTGTTTGTAGAAAACACAAATAGAATAGAAAACAGCAAAATTTAATCTCTTAATTTCTTATACAAAAATGTTACCCAAAAAGACTCGAAGCTAGAAGGTCACACTCAGCAAAATGGTAATATTGAAATTGTGATACAAATGGAAGAGAAGTTGGTAAAAAAATGAAGACTAAAAAGGAATAATATTCGTGACTTGAAGAAGGCAAGAGTGAGGCGTTCAAGAAAGCACACACACACATGGGGGTCAATTTATATAAATAATGTAAATACTTCGGTTTGAAATAGTGTGGAACGTCAATATCTTGATTGTCGTTATTTTCTCTTCAAGTTACATGTTATATTAATTTTAGCTGTTGCTGCTGTTGGTAGTTGGTTTCTGTTATCTGCTCACTTTAAGTGCCCTATGTTACAAATTTATGACGGTCGTCTTCGAGTATAGAATCCAGAGGTTGGCAGTGAATATTTCGGAGACAGTAGGAAAGCGTAGTTCAGGTTCACAGTGTATATCGCAGCAGAGCGTAGTTCTTCCTTCTGGCATCTTCGCCTGACAAGTTGGCACTGGTCATTCCGGTAGGATAAACAAAGATGGCCGCCTTTATACACGACGGATACAATGTTCTGCGGCTTCTGATTGGTCAACCTTCCATTGGTAGACTATAAAGTGAGTCAGGGTATTTTGATTGGCTCACTAGTTATACAGTATATACACAAAAAACTGTAACACCCTACGTGATACACGCCTGGGCTATCATGTCTCTTGATCCATGACTAATTAGGCAGAAGCTTTTTCCGTAATAGGTTACCATTTCTTTCTGCAGCAGACTGGTTGCCAACCAAGGCTATAGAACCCAGTCTGCTCTTCTATTCAACCCAGAAGGGAGAAGAAACGGGCATTTGCACGTAACTGAATGTAACAAACTCGAATGGAATTCGAACTCAGTTCTACGGCTTCTCCTTTCGTGTAGAACTTTTTTTCGTACATTGGGAAAACGATGGAAATAAAGATGATTCGACTCTGTGGAAATGGCACGGCGTTTACTCCGTGTAAACATCTGAACTAATGAATGGGGTTCATCTGAACACTTGCCACGAGAATAGCGATTAGAGTAATTGCGTCTGTAGGAAATGGGTTACGCAGTGGAAGAATTCTTTTAAATCTCTGTTTTTTTTTTTGTTTTTTTTTTAATTTCAGATGAAAATGAAAGAAGTGGATTCTGACGGAGACTCCATTATACGAGAACATGATTACGTGTGTATGATGTCGGAGGATGAAGACCTCTTGAATGGGTAAACCTTTTGTAATTGCTAGTCCTTTATATATATATATATATATATATATATATATATTTATTTGGTTGGATAGATGTGAGTTTGTGAGCCTGGGTTTCACGCTTGCTAAGTACCGCGTATATAATATATAAATAATTATATATATATATATTTATTTATATTTATACACACACACACACACACACACACATATATATATATATATATATATATATATATATATATATATATATATATATAATAATAATACTACTACCCCAACTGTACCGTTTGTTGTGGCGATGAACACCCCTCTCCAGAATATAACTTGGACTAGTCCAAATAGCATATATACTGGCGCCGAAAAATCGTCACTACAGCTAGCCGCTCGTGGAGCTCAGATCTTATCGAACTCTCTGTCTTCGGACAGAAAGGAACCCAGACGATGCTAGGACGAAGGGGAGTCTCGTCTGGGGTGGTAAACAGTCTCGACTCCGTTTATACGGGGTCTACGGGGAATTTTTGCCCGAGTCCACAGGCTCTGATTTGCCCCACGTAAAATTGGCCTTGTGCCGCATCCACCTAGTGCGGAGATTGATAAATACCGCTAGCCGCTCGCGGGGCTCAAATCTTGTCGAACTCTCACCGGGTTTACCATACTTTTGGCCTTGTGCCAAATCTAAGCGATGCTTAGAAAACCACCATACTGAAGGCAATAGTGACAGAAGGGAAACAGCGAGTAATCCTATCAAACAAGCTTATGCAAATGAATGACAGAATAGGGATGGTAAAAAGCAAAACTAAGAGCCACAACGGATAGGAAATTGTGGAGAGACATGATCACCCACATGTTGAAGGGACATGGCGAATAGAAGAATATATTTCGGCAATAATCATTCTTTTATAAAAGCACAGTTTTTTTTCTGGTTTATACTGTGCTGCAACATCAGTCGACAACATGAAAGCGAGTACTGGAAATTTATAAACAGGGATCATAACATTTATCTACAGGTTCGGGGTTAATGTACTTTATTAAATTTGTTTGCGAAGATATATTCCCGCCATTTATATCATTAAATTCTATATCTGTTTTTTTGTATGAATGATTCATGTAATGTAAATCATAGTTGATATTAAAATAACTGATCCGACGTGCAACTTTCAGATAATAACTGTGACATTCCTGTATTTATTGAACAATTTAGTTCATGCCACATTGACTGAAAAACCTACCAGTACAAAAGAATTCTCCTATTACCATATTAGTACAAAAACGCATAAAAATTCAACCTCCGCGTTGCGACCGCACGCTCCCAAAAAATGTCCTACAATTAACAATAACACATTTCTAAAAACATATTTCGGATTACATCTATTCTTTCGTTGTCCTGTTATTACCGAGAAGTAAAAAACGAAAACAAATCTATTTCCATACCTGATGATGTCTGTATGCAAAAAAGACCTTATGCAACTGGAATTTATAAACAGGGATCATATCATTCATCTACAGGTTCGGGGTTAACGTACTTTATTAAAATTGTTTGCGAAGATGTATTCTCGCCATTTATATCATTAACTTCTATATCGGTTTTTTGTATGAATGATTCATGTAATATATATATATATATATATATATATATATAATCCCCACATTAAAGCAAGGCGCTAATTTCACTAACACATAGTTGACAAGAAAGCAAGAAGTCAGAAGAGAACTCTAGAGGCGAGAGAAGAAACTATTAGAATAGAACTTACGGTAAAATTATGAGACCTAATTGCCAACCTAGTACTACGTTTAAATTCATATGGTCGAGGTAGCAAAGAGGCAAGCTCATAAGAATAATTGCAATAAAAATATTTATACATCAGACACAGGGAAGCTACGTTGTGCTGGGAAAGTGGCTGAAGCTAATGTGTCAGGGACGATAACATTATAGATCTTTCTTTTGGATTTTGTCAAGAATCTCGAGCCATATATAGTATGGCCAGATACGGCAGTAATATTCTATGCACGGAAGAAGAATGGCCGTACAACACGACTTTTATTACACTTACCGAATTTAAGAAAGATTGGATAAAAAATTCGCCCTGAGTCACCATAGCCCTTCAGCATGTAAAAAAGACCAATATACCAAACCCTTTTAAACGCCTTCAAGATATTTAATATATCGTCGTTCTTATCTAAAGCTTGACAGACAAATAAATTAATAGCTGTTAACACAGCGGCTGTTGACCTAGTATAGCTGGCCATTCGTACTCGAGTATACCCGTCTACTAGGGCGCCTAGCCAATCCCTATTGCAGACGCTTTCTCAGGCACATTTGTGTTTGTTCAATATCCACAGAGCTCACCTGCGGTTTATACTGCAACTATGCTGAGCAGACCTTAGTTACAGTTTTTGGGAAAGAGCGTGTTTTCTAGCATGATCAACAATTTGAACAAGGCCAGCACACTCAATCTCTCGATCACAGCTATCGACAGAACCCAAGGGATCTGTCTATCCAATTTCATTCACAAAACTTGGGTCAACCCATGGCACTTTCCAAAGGTGTCGTGTATTGGGATCGACCCCTCCAGTCCAATAACATTGACCATGGTGAGATTCGAACCTGGGTCTCATTGGTCAGAATGCGAACGTTCTAACCTCACGTGCCCAACCCTAGAGAAGCGAAAGCCATATTGTTTGTCCGAGAGAAGGAGACGTTTGAATGTGAGATTCTTAATCAATACGGAATTGATCAAAGCTACGAGTATTTTGCCCCAAAACATAGAAGACTAAGCGGTCGATAATTCGAAGGGTCAAACAGTTCACTCGAGTTTTTAAAAACAGAAAATGTAGAAGAGAATTTCCAACAAGCTGGAAAGCAATTAGCTGTAAGACATTTATTGTAGAGTTTAGAGAGAGAAGAACATTACACACTCAGACAGAACGATCGATCGATCTAACAATGAAGAATAATATGCATAAATAAAAAGAAAGTACAGACAAAATAAAGTAACAATAATTATTTTAGCAAACAATGTAAAATCATTTAATTCAATCTTTGAAGACGGTGTGAAATGAAATGGATACTTCTGAGAGAAAAACAAAATTTACAGTCAGTCGTTAGAGAAAGGAAGTCATACGAACGTTGTCAGTGTATGTATTTGTGTATGGATAGGTTACGAATAGAAAAGTTAACTCTCCCTGACTGGATAAAATTTTTTATTCTTAACACGCAAAGAATGAATTTACACAAATTAAGTGTTTTGTATGCCAAATGATTTACATGTATGTAAATTAGCAATGAAAATGAAATATGCTTTTTTTTTTACAATATTAAAATTATAATGCTGCATAAGAAGGTCTTCAGTAAAGAAAACTACATAAAATGAAGAAAATAAGAAATACTTTTCTGAATAGCTTTCCAAGAATAATTTGATAAAATTTTTGAAGCAAAGTTCGTATAACAGCGAAGAATAGATCAAGCACACCAACCAAAGACTTTTCTTTGATATAGGAGCCACCTTGTTGTTCCTGTCAATTCTCGTCCGGTGGTTGTCCAAATTCTTCTGCTTTGTTTTCTTTCTTGACCGGGGTAACCTGGATTCATGCAGTAGAAGTTTGTCGACTCCCAAAATCAAATCCAAGCCCCCTGCTTAAATAAGCTACAGTTAGGCTCCAAATATACCTTTCGGAATTTGGAAGGAAACCATTTTATTGCTTTGGGATGAAAAACAAACGCAACTGTTTTCCCACGAATGAAAATGTACCAAAAATATTTTCAAAATCTAAAAATTAAGCAAGAGCCCAACGCAGCGTCTGCTTTTTTTCTCTGAAAACCAGACGATGCACACTCAACTAGTTTATATTTGTTAAAGAAAAATTTACAGTATGCGTGGTATATTATATAGATATTTTTACTTATTTATTTTCAGGACGAGTGTTTTGAGAGAACTTTTCAAGAAATTTGACAAAGACAATAGCGGTTACGCTTTTACAACTGATGTAATCCAGGACTTAAAAGACATGGGTATTTATAATCCGGAGATGGCCAGCAAAATTGATGCAATGGATTCCAATAAGGACGGACAAATTTCTTATAAGGATTTCCTGAAAATTTATTTCCAGGGGAAAAAATAGACCCTGTCAACTTTCGATTAATAGTTTTATATTCAGACGCAAATTTGAAAGTTCTTTTTTTAACCTTTAAACAGCGGGTATCATCAATTGATGTTTCATTGAATATCGGCGTATATCATCAGTTGATAGTTTAAACTTTTACCAACGATACATGCATCATTCATTCATAATTCAGGTCTAAAAGACTAATTAGAAACGCTAGGATTTATGAGGTTACGTAATTTCCTTGTGTATTTGTATACAAATAATTTAAAATAAGCCAAATACATATGTTTGCATGCATACGTCTCTATTAGAAAAGGGAAAAATGGTTACAACTAAATGCAAAGAAAACCATTCCTCATCAAGGAGTATCGTACTGTTAAATATTATTAAATTTTGGAATCTAACATTTGTTTTTTTTACAATCCAAAAGAATAAAAATATTTTTTTTTTATGTAATTAATACAAAAATAGGCACAAATACTCACACGATCTTTTCTGTTCACTCAAAATAAAAAGAATTTATATTTACTAAAATTCACACCAAATTCTCACTGAACGAGGCCCTTCCATTACATTCCGTTTGGGCTGACCTTTTCAATCGCCCCAGGTTTGGGCGACTCAGGTGCGCAATTTCAAAAATGTGGGGATCTGAATTCGCGTTCACCCCGATAAACAAACCAAAATCAAATCTTTTTTTTTTTGTAAAAATTCCTTGTAAGTACCTCGAATATCATTCGCACTTACGGAATATGAATAACTCCCCGATGTTTGGTAATTTTTCATTCTGAGGATTGAAGTTGTTCGAGACAAGCTAAACAAACTTTGATTTAACATTTTTAATTTCAAATGAGTTGCAAAAATCTAATAAAAAAAAACAAACTTTGATTTAAAATTTATAATTTCTTGGGGGAATTAATATTTGCGATAAGTAACTTATTTATATTTTGGGTGAATTAACAGAAAAGATTCTACTATCGTTTAAAAAAAAAATGAAATATCTCAGTGTAATCGCGCCGTTTAAGGGTTAAGAAAGACAACTTGAGATTCTTAGGTTAAAACTGAAACAGTCTAAATTACTTTTTATTTGTTTCATCTACTGCACGTGATAATTATTTTGTATTATATATGCAACAATAAAGCTGATCATGACTTGGCTATTAATTTACCTCATTTTTGCTTACATTTTTTCCTATATATCCCAAGCTTATCTAATCTTCTTTCGTGATGTTTTTTTAAAGAAATACGCTGTTAATGTTACGTTGTCATTTTTACTTAATCATCCTGATAGCAGACGACATTTTAATATACAATAATTAGATTAAAATGTTTTACGTAAAAAAAAAACAACAAAAAAAAAACAAACTTCTGGGCAATGTTTAACCCCCGAGCCCCCCAAAATGTGTAAAAGAATGGTTATTCCAGCTATTACTGTGTATACACTTTTGATTTCCTCATCAATGTTTATTTATAAGATTATGAAAATATGTGAACCTAGTACAATGCAATATTTATTATTTAACTTTTATAAAGATTTATTATTTATAGTTTTCTAAATAACTATGAAAACAAGTTTTTTTTTAATTCAATCTAATAATAAATAAATAGTTTAATATCTTTGTTGTCAATTCTAAAGGATATAGAAATTGTATAAATTCATTTTCATTTGTTGAAGTTTTATTAAAATTCTAATCATCGCTTTTAAAAAAGGATAAACATTGCCAAGGGAGCCAAAAGTGTATGTAAATAGCGGTTTCAGGTACTAAACGTACTTTTTTAACACACGGTTTTTTTTTTTTAATTTGTCGGACCGAAGGTTAAAAATGGCTGAATTTAAAACGCCTGCCATTCCCTATTTGTGCAAATTGTACACATAAATTGTGTCGGATTAAATAATTGTGTCATAATTAACTTTGATAATGACTTGCTGAGGTCAACTGATATAGATACATATACATCATATAATCAAATTAGCGCTGACGGCTAATTTCTACGTCATACAACGGTACATATCTTAATAAATAATCTGTTTGTATCAGAGTAAGAAAATTAAATTCATTTTGTTTAAAACCTGGGAAAGGCGGTTTTAAGGACAGAGATGGATAAATATACGAATTTTCTCGAGTCGGAATTCAAAGCAATGGATGAAGATGGAGACGGATTTCTGTCTCGAAGGGAAGTGTATGAAATCCTGATTTATCAAGGAGTAGAAATGACAAAAGAAGAAACAGAGGTAAGCCAGATTTAAGGCCCCCTTTTCAATATTCTTCTGTTACTTACACACACACACACAATTTTTTTTTCTACGGTAATGGATTTTTATTTGTCGGTCCGATTTTATCACTTTAATATTTTTTTTTCGGAATGCCTATAGTTGATTAGACACTCTCATGGAACACAGGTTCGAGTCCTGTTGGAGAGAACATATTTTTCTTTAATAAGATTTCTCGAATATTCAGGCTGGTAGACAAATAAATACACATACTGTTTAATGAATAAATGGAGCGTCTACTCAGATATGAGTATCCACTAAAAATAACGCTTAAAGTAAGATATATATCAGTCAGTTATGTGCCATGCATGATACACGCGTAGGCAATCATGTATCTTTCGATACATAACTGACGAGGCAGATTTTTTCCCGCAGTAGGTTGCCAATTCTTTCTGCGGTAGACCAGTTGCCATCCAAGGCTACAGAATCCGGCATAACCTGCTATTTACCCATATCTGGGGAGATGTATATATATAAGATATATATATATATATATATATATATATATATATATATATATATATATATATATAGGGTGCAATGGGTATGCATACATCTTCGACGATTTTTTTCGATCGATCTTTTCTGCTCACGAAATTATATTAACGTAAAAAATGACAACATATGAAATGGATCAAGTACGACAATTATTTTAATAAATTTTCTATTTATACGTTATTTTTATAGATATAATTTATTTATTTTATATAATTTATATATATTTATATATATTTATAATTTATTTTATAGATATAATTTATTTTTATAGATATAATTTATTTTTATAGATATAATTTATTTATTTTATATAATTTATCTGTTTTTTAATTAAGGTGTGTGCTTATAAACAGTAATTCGGACTTTGCTAACAAGACGCTTCTTTGTGGCTGAATGGCTGACAGCACATCAGATCAAATGATGGTTCCCATTAGGGTTACAGGTTCGATTCCTGTAGAAGAAGCACATATTTTCTACGAAATTTCTCGGACACTCAGACCAGTAAATGTAATTAATACTGTTTAATTAAAAAAACAAAACAGAGCATTTACTTAAATAAATCATATCTATAAAAATAAACAGTATATATATATATATATACACACACACACACACACACACACACACACACACAAACACACAAAAAGTAAGTAATTTCGTAATAACAAGACAAAGCGTTTCTACGTACCACAACTCGGTGTCATGTCCCCGGAATCGCCAGGTGTAAAATCCTAGAATTATTTGGTGTGTTCCAACTTACATAACCTGGAGGTGGACACTAACTAGCTACCCCAAACCAAATATGGTAGTTTTCTAAGCGAATGTGTGAGACATACAGTGAGGATCGAACTCGCTATTCAGTCGTAAGTGATCTAGCGAGACAAGCGTGCTAAGCATTACACCACGTCCAGGTGCCCATCCCTAACAAAGATAGGGCTGATAAAATTGCAGCCTCTGAGCCGTGATAGGCAGAAACTTTGTCTTTTTGCAATTTTATCTTGGTTTTGTCTGCTGACATTCAGTGTTTGGATTTTTTTAACGATCATAACTTTTTCAGCAATTTTTTTTTAATAGTAATATATACTTGTGTATTTGGGCAGCAATTCCTCTTTAATATATGTTTCGTTGAACAAGACTGACGAGGTACTTTTGTTTATTTTTTTTTTTTTTGTAATTTTGTTTTTCTTGTATACGTACGCGTGTTTTCTTTTATGAATATGATGCATTTAAAATTCTTCAAAAGTTCATTGTTTCCGAGCGTTTCGAATTAGCCATTTTCAAGTCATATTCTTAAAAGAATTTATACTGCTATAATAAATAGTGCGTAAGAATCATTGTAGATTGTATAAAGGTCGTTGGAAGTAGACATGGCTGATGCTAACCTCCAGGAAAGTGACTCGTTGCGTCTTCTCTAGCGTTCTCAGCTGACATAAATGGAAAGACTATATTGAATCCATTGCTAGGTAAGCTGCTACGAAAGTCGGTTCGCTGTGTCATGCGAGATAATCTTTCTCTCCAGAATCCATCTTACACATCTGCCATTCATCCTTGCTTAGAATTGCTACCATATATGGTCCGGTGCCCCTGCTACTTACCTTGAGCCCCTCGATAAAATCCAAAGAATCAGCAATATTATTGGTCCTGATCTGGCGGTTCGGCATCAGTCACTTTCCTACCACTGTAAGGTTGCCTCTGTGACTTTTCTATAAATACTTTCATGATAATTGTTTGGATGAATTCTTCGCTATGATACCTCGACTTTTTGAAGTTAAGCGCAATACTAGACTGGCATCGAGATCTTGTAAATTTATTGTTGAGCTGGCTAGAGGTAGCCGTAAGTTCTATGCTAACAGTTTCTTCTCTCGCTTGTGGAACTTCGTTCCGGCTCTGTGCTTTCCAGCCAACTTTAGTCTTCAAAAATTTAAATGCAATGTCAATTGCTATCTACTGTCTTCCTGATTACTCTTTCCTCTCCGCGCTCATTATTAATGTATTTGTCCCTAATTCTTCCACAACCCCTTGTGTCTTAGTGGCTTTACTGCTTTGCATGGGGTAATACCGATAGAAAAGACATATTCTTAATTTCCAAATACGACAGTTTGTGGTCATTACA